CATACTAAACCACGACCCCTCATCATCCACAAACCAGTCACTCATGACTTCAAGCTATCACCACAACCGATGCATCTATGATATTTGGTGGCATAACCATCCACAATCTCACATCACCTAATGAATAGATATGCATCTACACAAACAAGATCTGACGGCATAACCTTCCCCGAAGGTCACCCATCACAATCTTACACAGAAAAGAGATCTGTTGGCATATCCTTCCCCGAAGGTTACCCAACACAACCTCACACACAAAAGAGATCTGGCGGCCTAACCTTCCCCGAAGGTTACCCGACACAACCTCACAACACAAGAGATCTGATGGCATAACTTCTCTCCCTAGAAGATTACCCATCACAACCTCACAACAATGCAAACCTGCATATAAACACACAAGAGATTTGACGGCATAACTTCTCTCCTAGAAGATTACCCACCACAACCTCACAATACATTATATAAATTTCTGCAGCATAACTCTCCACAATTTTTACTAAACCTTATTGTTTAGAGAGTTATACTACAGAACCAATAACCAATATGGACAGAAAGCATCTCCTATGCTTTGTTGTTCATACAACCTGCATACACACACAAAGATCCAAAAGACTAAAACTATAACACCAAGACTCACCACTTTTAGAAGACTTCAAGATCCTCCTAGCTTTCCTTAAGCTTTGATCTTGACCTACTCTAATCTTCCACTAACCTCACTTAATTAAGAAAACTTTCTTAATTACTCTCTAATCACTTTTCAGGTGCTCTCTAGCTTTGGGAATGGAATGGTTTGGACTTGGGGTTGGAGGAGCGTATTTATAGGAGTTCAGGAGGCTGCCTGGCTTCTTGGGACGTCTCCAGTCATGCGCAGACACATGGAGACCTAGGCCTAGCAAAGCTTTGCTTGGTGGCGACCTACACTGCCTCAGAACGCGACATCCAGGCGGTCTAGGCTAGGTAGCTTTGATTGGTGGCCTCTAGGGCGTCTCAGGACATGACACACGTCATTCCTATGCCCTCTCAATGCTCATCCAATGAGCCGACTTACCCCAAGCATGTGGTGTGGTCGTGCCATTGGACATAACTCATCTTATATCCTTAAGCTACTGTGTGCTTCTGTCCGATTGGTCAGCTCTTGATCCAATCCGTTTCTTCTCTTCTACACTTTCTTCTCATCCAATCTTGAAGCTTATACTCTCTCCCAGTAGTTGGAGTTGCATCCTGATTCGTCCAAGTCAGTTTCGTCTCCATTGAGCACTTCTGTGTCTCCGTCTGATTGGTTTGGATGATTCTTGTCTCTCATGAGCAGCTGGGTGTCTCTCCATGATAGCATTAGGTATTCTTGGAGCTTATCCACGCCCTCTCTCCTCTTTAGCAGCTGGTGTCGTTGCCCAATTGGTTTAGGCTTGCTTCGTCTTCATTCGGTAGCTGGATGTTGCTACATGATTGGCCTGTACGGTTTTGGCTCCATTGTAGTAGCTGAGTGTCTTCTCCATATTGGTTAAGATCATCCTTATCTTCTCCAAGTAGCTGGTGTCACCACTTGATTGGCTTAGAACAAGATTGCTCCAAAAGTATGTTTCCTCGTCCAAAGGGTTTCATACGTTTCCCTGTCCGGAGGGTTTCGTCCCTGTCGTGCATGAGAATTAAAATCTCCTATTTTAATCCTTCTCTCATTTCCATGTTTCTGAGCTTCCGCATAGTTGCTTGGAAATGTGCGGAATACCTCCATCCCGAACATTTACGTTTCTTGCAGTCGTTGTGGGATAGATCTTGGGCGTTCGTCCCATCTCTCAATCTGCTTGTCCGATTTGCATTCTGCTTCGACCAAACTTCTTAGAATGGTCTCTTATGTCGTCCAAACTCTTCTCTTCTTGATTTGGAGAACTTTGATATTTCGTCGTCCTGTTGACTCTTCCCATGTTCGCACAATGATCGTCCCACCTAGGACAATCTTGTTGTATCTTCACTTCTGCTCGATCGTTCTTGATCCTGTCTTGATCCAAGTCTTCGTTGTGATCTCTGTATTAGATCCTACGTCTTTTTCGTCCAATCCCAGTGTGTTGATCTTCCCATCCCGGCCTTTGGGATGTTTTAGGTCTTGATACGGGGTATCACACTCTTGGTTACTCTTTGGATGATTTAATAGGAATCTCACCTGAGCTATGCATGCATCGAATCATCTTGGAGGATGAGTCTAGTTCTTCCATTGAACACCAGAGGAGGCTAAACCCAAACCTAAAGGAAGTTGTGAAGAAGGAGATAATGAAGCTGTTGAAAACTGGAGTGATCTATCCAATATCATATAGTGCATGGGTCAGCCCTGTACACGTCCTGCCAAAGAAATGAGGAATCACAGTCATCAATAACGAACATGATGAGCTCATTCCAACGAGGACAATCACAGGACACAGAATGTGTGTTGACTACAGGAAGCTGAACTCTTCTACGCGCAAGGACCACTACCCCCTGCCATTCATAGATCAGATGCTTGAGCACCTTTCCAATCATCAATACTACTGTTTCTTAGATGGATACTCAGGATTTTTCCAAATCCCCATCCATCCAGATGATCAGGAGAAGACTACTTTCACTTGTCCCTATGGCACATATGCTTATAGGAGAATGCCTTTTGGGCTGTGCAATGCTCCGGCTACATTCCAAAGGTGTATGATGTCCATATTCACAGACCTGATAGAAGAAATTATGAAAGTTTTCATGGATGATTTCTCAGTATATGGTTCTTCCTTTGAATCATGTTTGGGAAATCTTGGAAGAGTACTGCAAAGATGTGAAGACAAGCACCTAGTTCTAAACTGGGAGAAGTGTCACTTTATGGTTAGAGATGGAATAGTGCTTGGACATAGAATCTCAGAGAGAGGCATAGAGGTCGACAAGGCCAAGATTGAAGTCATGACAAACCTTCAGCCGCCCAAGACAGTCAAGGATATCAGAAGCTTCCTAAGACATGCTGGATTCTACAGGAGGTTTATTAAAGATTTCTCGCAGGTAGCAAGGCCATTAACACTCGTGTTATGCAAGGATATCAACTTTGAGTTCACTGAAGAGTGTCACAAGGCTTTTACTAAGATCAAGGATGCATTGGTCAGTGCACCAGTAGTTCAACCTCCAAACTGGGAACTACCCTTTGAGATAATGTGTGATGCAAGTGATTATGCAGTAGGACCAGTGCTTGGGCAAAGAAAGGACAAGAAGCTACATGTGATCTATTATGCCAGCATAACGCTTGATGAGGCACAATGCAAGTATGCCACGGCAGAAAAGGAACTTTTAGCTATTGTTTTTGCATTTGAGAAGTTTCGATCATACTTGGTGGGATCGAAAGTTATAGTTCATTTTGATCATGCAACATTAAGGTATCTCTTATCCAAGAAAGATGCCAAGCCAAGATTGCTGAGATGGATACTTCTATTGCAAGAATTTGATCTTGAGATAAAGGACAGAAGAGGAGCAGATAATGGAGTGGCTGATCATCTCTCAAGAATGAGAGTGGAGGAAGATCTTCCGCTTGTTGATAGGTTGCTGATGTACTTGCATTTTACATAGTTTTAGCACATCTTTTATGCATCTTTTGCATAGTTTTAGCTTCCATTTGCATCATATCTTGTTCCTTTTCTCTTCTTATGCATTCATGTTAGTTTTAGGTTGCATTTGCATACATATGCATGTTTGGTCCTTTGAAATAGGTCTTTTGGAGCATTCTGGAGCATATGGGACATGAGGAGCATGGAGGGACTTGGCACATGGAAGCAGCTCAACTGGATACGCAAAGGAAGAAGGGAGAAGCCATCTTGAAGACCAGCTCGACCGTCTACTCGACCAACCGGTCGAGTTCCTCAACTCGACCGGCCAAGCTTCAACTCGATCGAGCTGAGAAGTCAACAGTCAAACCCGAAAAATGTTGCTTCCCCCTTGACTTTCCTTTGACCCTAAACCTAAAACCTCTTGTATTTAAAGGCTCTAAGCCACGAAAAAACCACCAAGCTTTAGATTATTTTGTTTTAGCTTTCTTTAATTTATTGTCTTTTACTTTTAGCAACCCTAATCCCATCTTTGTGTTCTTGAAGCTCTTGCTTCTTGAATCTTAGATCCTGGATTATTTGCTTTGTATTTGCACTTGCTTATTTCAATAAAAGTTGTTTAATTTCATCTCCTCTTTCTTATGATGTCTCTTTTATTGCATTTGCTTGTGTTTACATTCATGTGTAGTGAGTAGTTACCCATTGGGGTTTGAGATGGGATAGATTAGAGGTTTCATATGCTTAATCCTTCTAGCTTATGGTCTTAATCTAGATTCTCTCTCTTTTGGATAGATCTTAAGGCTACATGACCACTACCCCTGGCTTGTAAGTCCTTAGGCGACTCCCCACACGAAAGTGATGGCATTCGCTGGAAAAGATCCACTAAGAGCTCCAATATCTCTTGCTCTAGACAATAGAGGTCTAAGGGGTTGGATGGATTAGTTTGGGCAATGATCCTATAGCCTCCAAGGTTTGATTCTCACTGGCTAACCCCCTGTTTCTGAGATCATTCCTTGGTTGATAGCCTTCACCTTGGGAAAGGGTTGGCTAGGCATTGAGAAGCCCAATATCAAGAGAAGCCTTGATACAAGGAGTTTTAAGAGCTAGATTGATTAAGTGTAGATTCCTTGATTGCAAAACCCTGTCTTGAACCCTAATTCTCTCTTATCTTGTTAAAGTCGTCACCTTTAGCTTTTTTGTCTCAACTCGTCCCTAAACTCGATCGAGCTGGTACTTTGTTCTGACTCGACTCGAGTCTTGGTCGAGCTGACTTCACTGCTTTGTTTACTTTTATTGCATTGCATTTCATTTTTTTAGGTTGTTAGTGTTACTTCAAATCTATTACTGCTTGCTTGACTTTCTGGTTGTTTCATATTCTCATAGAGTGACAAGTTTCCCATTTTGGATTGATAACCCTTTGTACTACATACTATGATGGTTAAGAGGAATTGATTGATTGTGTTGCACCATTTCATCTTATTCACCACCTGTTGCATTCCACCTCATATCTTATCATTCATTCATATCATCACACACAAAATCCTATCATCAATTTGGCGCCGTTGCCGATTTGGGAATATTTTTGTTGCATTTGAGTTTCAAACACACTTGGACGATCAAGCTATACCACCCCTGTTCTATTGTACTGCTGGGTTTTTGTCTCTTTTTGCAGGTGTATGCGAACTCGATCGAGTCGGTCTACTGAAGACTTGGTCGAGCTAGACATTACAACGGGTAGAAAGAGGGTTCAGAGGTCACAGAGGGTACAAGAGGAACCTGAGGTGCTTGTTGCTGATACAATGGATGTACCAGAGGGGAATGGAAACCCTTTGGGAATGGACTCGGTCGAGCTAGGCAAACTCGACCGATTGGTCAAGGAGATGCTCCAAACCGCCACCAACAGAGACAAGGGATTGTTCCACCACCAGTGCAGAACCACAACTTTGAGATCAAGCTGGGAATGATCAACCTTGTCCAGAACAAGATGTTCCATGGATTGCCAAGTGAAGACCCCATTGACCACCTTGATGAGTTTGATAGGCTTTGTGATTTGACAAAGATCAATGGTGTCTCTGAAGATGCCATCAAGCTGAGACTCTTTCCTATGTCTCTAGCTGACAAAGCTCACCAATGGGAGAAGAGCTTGCCCCATGGCACAATCACCACTTGGGATGAATGCAAGAAGGCCTTTCTTGCTAAGTTTTTCTCCACCGGTCGCACAGCCAAGCTTAGAGGAGAGATATCCAGCTTCATCCAGCGAAACAATGAGACATTCGCAGAGGCTTGGGAGAGGTTCAAAGGGTACACAAGTCAGTGCCCACACCATGGATTCAACAATGAATCACTACTCTCCACTCTTTATAGAGGATGCTTGCCTAGGTATAGGGAGATGCTAGACACAGCTAGCAATGGGAACTTCCTCAACCAGGATGTAGATGATGGCTGGCAACTTGTGGAGAACATAGCTAACTCAAATGGAAGCTATGGAGAAGAGTATGATCGCACCAACCGGAGCTCGACCCACCACTCGATCGAGTCAGACGAAAAGTTGAGAAAAGATGTTAAGGCATTGAATGAGAAGTTGGATAAGCTGATCCTAGCTCAGTCCACAATGAAGAAAGTCAACTTTGTGTCTGCTGAGGAGATGGAACCAGTCCAAGAAGGGGAGGATACACAATTTGCTGAGGTGTGCTACATGAGCAATGGGCAAGGAGGTTACAACAAAGGATACTATAACTACAAGTCCAACCCTGCCATGTCATACCGCAACACTGATGTTGCTAACCCTCAGGACCAAGTATATCCTCAACAACAAGCAGCTCGATCGAGTCAGGTGCCACAACATGGGTATGGTCAAAAGAACAATTACCAAGGACCACAAGGCACTTTCCCTGGACAACAAATGAATATCCCACCAGGCTTCCCCCACCAACCGCCCCAGCCTGCACCTTCACAAGAGAATGAGCTCAAGCAATGCTAAAGCAACTACTTCAAGGGCAAGCTGATGGGGTAGTGGACACAAGCAAGAAGCTAGCTGAAATAAACTCTAAGATCGAGAACCTCAACACAAGGGTTTACTCTCTGGAGAATCATGCTTCTTCTGTTGCTGCTGCTACAAAGCAAGGACAACTACCTGGTAAAGCTATTCAGAACCCCAAGGAACAGTGCAAGGTCATCTTCACTCAAGAAGGACTTGTTGAAGAAGAGGATCAAGAAAGGGTCATTGAAGATTTTTGTTTACTGCTGAATGATGAAGAGATTGTTGCTGCTGAGGCTCCTGGAGTCCAGATTGATCAACCAGAAGTGCATGCACCTACTGTGGCCATTCACACTTCACCAGTTGAGCTCGCACGACAAGCTCGATCGGCAGCTCGATCGAGTCCAACTCTAGCTCGATCGAGTCCGACCTCTTCTGTCCGACAGCCTGTTTTGCTTGATCCTTACAACCGGTTGCCGCTTCCTCGTCTCGCCTACTTAGTCAAGGTCACAAGGAAGTGATTCACAAGTTCAGAAGAGATCTCAGTGGGATTGGAATTGAGTTGCCTCCTATGGATAGCATGAGTGAGGCATTTGATCAAATGCAAATGGTCAAGGATGTTCTAGCCAACAGTGATAAAGTTTCAGAGGTCCTACAAGAGTCTACTCATCAGTTCAACCTGCTTACTTCACCCACCTTCCTACCAAAGGTCAAGGATCAAGGGAAATTCACTCTCCCTTGCACACTTGGGCATCTTGAGATTGACAATGCCTTAGTGGATTCTGGAGCAAGCATCAATCTGATCTCTCTCTCCATGGCAGAGAAGCTAGGCATTGCTGGAGCCTTGCAGCGCCCTACTACTTCAATCATGTTTGGAGATGCAACTTCAAGTCTCCTCTTGGAGTGTTCAAGAACTATCACTTGAAAATTGGAGAATGCATCATCCAAACTGATCTCACTGTGATGGAAATGGAAGAAGAGAAGGATTTGCCTTTGTTATTGGGAACCCCTTTCCTTAGTACAGTTGGCGCTTCAATTGACTTTCACAAGCAAGAAGTGATCCTTCACAAGGTGAATAGTTTGGTGTCATATCGCTTGCAGCCTAGAGGTTCAGACTTTTGTGCCACAATTGACAGTACCAACTCTCAGTTCTAAGAGTCATGGAGCTACAAAGGTTGTGAAGGAAAGGGTTGACAAAGAACCAAGAGTTGGGAAGGATAAGGATGAGAGAGGACCAAGGATTGAGAAGCCACGTCTTGAGAGGGCTAGAGTTGAGAAACCACGTCTGATAGGCCACGAGCTGATAGACTTGTTCAAGCCCCTTGTGTGCTTGATGAAGAAAGCCTTCAAGCTTTGTTTGATGAGCCACTAGGAAGGGCTCTAAAAGGGGAGGATGCAGCCTCTAAGGCAAGACCAGGAGATAAGGGCCATTCAGTCAGCCATCTCAGCTCACAATGACTTTGTTCCTTTGAAAATGGGAAGATGAGTACAAGATAAGGTACAAGGGGAGATCAATTCTCTAGAGCCAAGGCCCATTCCAAGCCCAAAAGCTAAAGGAGCTTCTGTCTCAAGTCCTCACTATCACCCTTGATGGTGGGACTAGCTCAACCAATGCCTAAGAAGGTAAAGGTCAAGCTATGGGACCTTAAACAAGCTCACTTGGGAGGAAGTCCCATGTTTATCCTTGTACATACTCTATTTATGCAATTTCTATCTATCTTTATGTTTTTAACCTTTGAATAAGTTAAGTTTAGGTGTCAAAGAGCCAGCTCGACCGATAGCTCGATCGAGCTAGAAACCAGGGCAACTCGATCGAGTCCTACACTCGACCGAGGTAAGTTTTTGAATTTCAAATTTCTAACCGTTTTCCTTGGTCAAGGGAGTGGGTCCCACAAGCTGATTTTGGTCCCCCACTACCCTATTTTGATCAGAGAAACCCTAGCTTCTTGTCCCTCTTTATTTCACTTTTAATCTCAACCACACATCTCAAACACCCCCTTCCCCATAACTCGATCGAATCCTCTCTCTCTCTCCCACAATCTTAAAACTGAAAATCATCTCTCTCTCTCATCACCACAAGAAAAAAATCGATTTCTCTCTTTTCTCTTAAGTTTTTGCGATTTCTCTTGTTCTTCCTCAATTCGTTTAGTTCTAGTTTCTGTGATTCTTCCATCATCAAGAAGGTATGAACACTTGAAACCCTTTATTCATCATCTCGATTTCCACTATTGCTTGTTTCCCCTTTGATTTTTGATTGCATGTGTCCCTTGTGGACTTGTTCTTGATTAATTGCCCTCATATTTCGCCTCTGCTGTATAGTCTTGTTAGTTTGTTTGACCTCACCTCTGTTTTGCCTTTAAACTTGTTGCATGTGCTTGAAAATTGAATTTGAGTTTGGTATTGGTTAAGGTGCTTAATGCTTCACTAGAATTGCTCATTGTTCCATTTACTAGTGTTCTTGGTTCAATTTGATTGATTAGCATCTTTCCAGCTCTTAAATCTTGAATTAGGTTTGGTTATACTCTGTTTTCACCTAGCTCGATCGAGTTTGTCACTCGAGTTTTTTGACTCGATCGAGCTGAGTGTCGAGTTGACCAAACCGATCATTACAACTCTAATTCTTTGTAATCTTTGATGCATTTCAGGTACTTTAGTGAAGAAACAGAGTAACAAGGATGACAAACAGTGAGGGAAGCCGCGCTTCACAGAGGAGAATGGTTGAGGGTGAATCAAGCAATGCAAGGGAAAGAAGGCTTAAGATGCAAGCCGATTTGAAGAGGATGGATCAGAGGATGGAAGAATCTGATGCAGAGGATATGTATACTCTGAGGAGGACAGTCTGAGAGTGAGAGATTGAGGGAAGAAAGGAGAACCAAGAAGAGGAATGACCCCATTAGTAGTGAGAGTGAGCAAGGGGAGTTTGAGATTGGAGTGAACCTTGTTCAAGAGGAGGGAAATGGTCTCCAAGTGAAGAAGGAAGTGATGAGACTGAGAGTGAAGAGGAAGGAGAAGAGGTGAACTCAGTTGGTTGAAGAAAGTAACCAAGATGAACCTATGGAGGACGTTGAGCCACAAGAGCAGCCGCAAGAGGAGGAAGAAGAACTCCCTATGTACCAAGAGCATTACAATGCTCTCTTCTCCATGGACTTCATGGAGACCAAGTACCCACATGTTGACACAATGAAGGCCCTTGGAATCTTTGAAGATGTGGAGTTGGTCTCAAGAACATGCACTTGGCCAAGCTCTTCTCTTATCACATGGAATCCTACAAGGAGCTCTGATGTACTTGCATTTTACATAGTTTTAGCTTCCATTTGTATCATATCTTGTTCCTTTTCTCTTCTTATGCATTAATGTTAGTTTTAGGTTGCATTTGCATACATATGCATGTTTGGCCCTTTGAAATAGGTCTTTTGGAGCATTCTGGAGCATATTGGACATAAGGAGCATGGAGGGACTTGGCGCATGGAAGCAGCTCAACTGGACACGCAAAGGAAGAAGGGAGAAGTCATCTTGAAGACCAGCTCGACCGTCCACTCGACCAACCGGTCGAGTTCCTCAACTCGACCGGCCAAGCTTCAACTCGATCGAGCTGGGGAGTCAAAGTCAAACCCGAAAAATGTTGCTTCCCCCTTGACTTCCCTTTGACCCTAAACCTAAATCCTCTTGTATAAAAAGGCTCTAAGCCACGAAAAAACTAGGAAGCGAGAGATTATCTTTGTTTAGCTTCTTTTAATTATTGTCTTTACTTTTTAGCAACCCTAATCCCATCTTTGTGTTCTTGAAGCTCTTGCTTCTTGAATCTTAGATCCTGGATTATTTGCACTTCCTTATTTCAATAAAAGCTCTTTAATTTCATCTCCTCTTTCTTATGATGTCTATTTCATTGCATTTGCTTGTGTTTACATTCATGTGTAGTGAGTAGTTTCCCATTAGGGTTTGAGATGGGTTAGATTAGAGGTTTCATATGCTTAATCTCTCTAGCTTATGGTCTTAATCTAGATTCTCTCTCTTTTGGATAGATCTTAAGGCTACATGACCACTACCCCTGGCTTGTAAGTCCTTAGGCGAGTCCCCACACGGAAGTGATGGCATTCGCTGGAAAAGATCCACTAAGAGCTCCAATATCTCTTGCTCTAGACAATAGAGGTCTAAGGGGTTGGATGGATTAGTTTGGGCAATGATCCTATGGCCTCCAAGGTTTGATTCTCACTGGCTAACCCCCTGTTTCTGAGATCATTCCTTGGTTGATAGCCTCCACCTTGGGAAAGGGTTGGCTAGGCATTGAGAAGCCCAATATCAAGAGAAGCCTTGATACAAGGAGTTTTAAGAGCTAGAATGATTAAGTGTAGATTCCTTTGGTCGCAAAACCCTGTCTTGAACCCTAATTCTTTCTTTATCTTGTTAAAGTCGTCACCTTTACTGTCTTTTCCGCTAACTCGACCCACAACTCGATCGAGCTCGGTGCTCTGTCCCAACTCGACTCGAGTCCTTGGTCGAGCTACTTATTTACCTGCTTTGTTTACTTTTATCGCACTGCATTTTCATTTCTTAGGTTGTTAGTGTTACTTAAAACCTATAACTGCTTGCTTGACTTTCTGGTTGTTTCATATTCTCATAGAGTGACAAGATTTCCCATTTTGGATTGATAACCTCTTATACTTCAATGACTATGATGGTAAAGAGGAATTGTTGACTGTGTTTGTGTTTGCATCTTACCACCATCATTTACCACTGATTGCATTCCACTCATCCCATTTCATTTCTTTTCACACACAAACAAACACGCCATCAAGCTCACTTGCGAGTTCCTAGCTTCAATGAGGTACCACATGTATGAGAAGAAGATAGAGCTGATTTGGACCAAGGATTGGGATGGATCACGTTCTTGGCTAAGGGAGAGAAGAGAATGGTGACCTTTAGGCAGCTGGAGATCTTGTTTGGGTTCAACTATGGAGAGGGAACCAAGTGGAACTTCAAGGAAAAGGAACTCCAAAGGGTTTGGGCTACAATCGCTGATGGAGTGTACTCTTCCTCAAGGTCCAAGGCAGCTCAGATCAGGAGCCCAGTCTTGAGATATGTGCACAAGGCACTTGCCAACACCTTCTTTGCAAGGAAGGCAACCGGGACAATCAACGAGGGGGAACTCAAGTTTCTTGACATGGGAATCAAGCCCTTCTCTCACGCACAAGCGATGGCAAGAGGATCAGGGGAGATAGGTCTGACACAGGGAACTTGATGCCTTTCCTTGACCACCTCCTCACCTACAAGATCACAGCTTACAACACTAGGCACCAAAGAGGAAGAAAGCTTAGTGTTGGAGGGCTCATCACACCTATCTTGTGTGCTGCTGGAGTAAACCCAACTGATAGGAGAGCTACTGAACCAGGTTGGATGGACATCAAGTTTTGCAAGACCAACCTCCTCATTGAGCACAAGGAGTTGGATGGGAGGTTCCAATTCAAGTTCACACATCCATTGGCTGGACCCTCCAAGCTTCTCCTGCCTAACCCAGAGCTCACCACAGTGTAAGGGGTGAGAACATTGACTTCAGACCCCCTGTGTACACATTAGTTGGGCATGAGGATGATTGCGAGAAGAGGAGCCTGAGCTCGATCGAGCTGAGTCTCGAGCTGAGTCGAGCTGAGGATCGAGCTGAAATCAGGTCCAGGGAGCGCTGATTTGGGTGAGCCTGAGTGCTACTACTTTGAGGAGTATGAGGCTCCAAGGATGAACCCCTCTGTTGTGGCTGCCCACAAGAGGATTGGACTTCTCCAAAAGTTCAACAAATGGCAAGGGAAAGCCATTGAGAAGATGCAAAAGTCCATGGACAAGATGGTGAGCAAGATCAAAAGTTTGGAGAAGAAGGTTTCTGGTTCTTCAAGCAAGAAGAAGTCCAAGGCCCCCACATTCCCTAGGAGTAGTCACTCCTCACCACCCAAGGAGGCTCCCTGCCCAAGAGCCTCACAGAGCCTCTTCTTTCGAGCCAAGGGAAGGAGAGACAACACGCAGAGAAGGAGGAAGAGTTCCAAGGCCAGACGCTCCAGCTCGACCACCGGACTCGATCGAGTCCAAACAGAGGAAACTCAACTCGATCGAGCTGACGGTCGAGTTGACCTGGAGGAGCCCCTGTTTGAGAACCCTGGATTCGAGTACGATCAACCCAGTACCAGGACTTCTCTCAGACCCTGGACTCCCTACAACCGCTTCGAGCGAGCACAGCTCCACCAAGGCCAAGGAAGCCACACCCACTTTGAAGATGAAGAAGAAGAGGAGAGGAGCCACAAGCTCGATCGAGTGAGCCGAACCCAGTGAGTGGAGTGCTCCTGATGGCCGTCTACCATCTCCAGACCACGACCTAGCCTCCCAGTTCTTTGGGGGGCACTGAGGTATCCAAACACCAACCCTTGTATATACCATTTCATATTTTCTTGCTTTGTTCTTGTTTTTTCTTGGTTTTGCCCTCTTGAATCTTTCACTAAATTTTTCTCACACAAGGGACTGTGTGATTTAAGTTTGGGGGAGGGTTCAAGAGATGATTTAACCTTGTTTTCTTTGTTCTTAGTTTTTCATTTATCTTTTGCATAGAAAAACCAAAAAAATCATAAAATTTTCAAAAAATCCAAAAATATTTTCATCTTTTTGCATTCATATTTGTTAGACTTGTTTAGGATTGCATTTTTCACTTGCATTGTTGATTTGACTTTGAAAACTTGTCCATCTTTTGCGATTTCTTGAGTGCCCTGTTTTTAGATTCTTTTGTGCATTAGGGTGAGATTGATTGAGCAGCAAGAACCATGTTTATCTTGATCATATCGCTGCATGCACATCTCATTCAACCATTGCTGTGATTTGATGCATTTCCCTATCTATTTGAACCATAACTTGATCTTTAATTACCAATGCTTGCATTTGATTTCAACTCATGGCTACCACATACATATCTGGACATTCTTTACCATTTTCATATCCCTTTTGCTTGTCCAGATAGCTGATCTCTATCCTTTGAGACAGTTACCACACCTTAAACCTAAGCCTTTTCATTTCAAACCCCTTATTATCTCTTGTGCGAATGTGAGAACCTTTCTTGGCTTTGCTTAGCATAAGGTGTTGTGTTTAAACCGGCAGGGGCAGTAGTTCTAGTTGTCTAGTTCTCTTGGGATTGTTTTCAGGCTAAGTTTGGGGGTGCCAACTCGAGCTCGATCGAGTTGGGTGTAAAAACCAGAAAAGTGGTAAAAGTTGGGAAAAACCCAAAGGAAAAAGAGTTTAGTTAAGTCCAGGGAGTTGGCAGTGTTAAAAAGGGTCTAGTAAAGGTTTGGGAAGTTAAAAAAGGAAGTAAAAAGGGTTCTAAGTAGAATGAAAAGAAGGCAAAGCCTCAAGTGTCAAAAAGGAAGAAAAGTTCCCTAAGTGTTTAGAAAATCCCAAACCGCTAGATGTTACCTCAAGAAGCCTCTCCCTAGGAAGTTCTTAAAAGAAAAGTGAGCAAAGCTCCTCAGTTTCAAAGGCGAAATGCCAAAAAGGGTAGTTAGGATTTTGTTCTAAAAAGCTCTAAGTGTTGAACTCGATCGAGTTAGGATTAGGCGGCTCGAGCTGCTGTTCTTGCATCATCTTTGGTTCTAACACTTAGCCTTCTGCCAAAGCAAAGCCACTTTCTTGAGAGATCCCTGTTACTAAACCACCATACAAAAGAGACCCTCTTTGTCTCTTAACCCATAAACCCTTGAAACCAAATGAGTTGATTGATCTTGCATGTTTTTGGTTCACTGTTTTTGCTTAATGAATGTTAAAGGGATTTGCTGATTTGAATGCATTGTTTGAGTGACTGTGAAGTGGGATTGATGTTGATAAGCATGGTTAAATCTTAATGAATATCTCTCACCTTGTTGCATTCTAGAATCTCTAAGTTGGACATTTAGCAAATCGCTTTTGAGGACATGTTTTTAAGTGTTGAATCAGCTATTTTCAAACCTCATCTCTTTCTTGTTCTATTTGTTTGCTTGAGGGCAAGCAAAGTTCAAGTTTGGGGGTGTTGATGTACTTGCATTTTACATAGTTTTAGCACATCTTTTATGCATCTTTTGCATAGTTTTAGCTTCCATTTGCATCATATCTTGTTCCTTTTCTCTTCTTATGCATTCATGTTAGTTTTAGGTTGCATTTGCATACATATGCATGTTTGGTCCTTTGAAATAGGTCTTTTGGAGCATTCTGGAGCATATGGGACATGAGGAGCATGGAGGGACTTGGCACATGGACGCAGCTCAACTGGATACGCAAAGGAAGAAGGGAGAAGCCATCTTGAAGACCAGCTCGACCGTCTACTCGACCAACCGGTCGAGTTCCTCAACTCGACCGGCCAAGCTTCAACTCGATCGAGCTGAGAAGTCAAAGTCAAACCCGAAAAATGTTGCTTCCCCCTTGACTTTCCTTTGACCCTAAACCTAATCCTCTTGTATTTAAAGGCTCTAAGCCACGAAAAAACCACCAAGCTTTAGATTATTTTGTTTTAGTTTCTTTAATTTATTGTCTTTTACTTTTTAGAACCTAATCCCATCTTTGTGTTCTTGAAGCTCTTGCTTCTTGAATCCTAGATCCTGGATAATCTCTTTGTATTTGCACTTGCTTATTTCAATAAAAGTTGTTTAATTTCATCTCCTCTTTCTTATGATGTCTCTTTTATTGCATTTGCTTGTGTTTACATTCATGTGTAGTGAGTAGTTACCCATTAGGGTTTGAGATGGGATAGATTAGAGGTTTCATATGCTTAATCCTTCTAGCTTATGGTCTTAATCTAGATTCTCTCTCTTTTGGATAGATCTTAAGGCTACATGACCACTACCCCTGGCTTGTAAGTCCTTAGGCGATCCCCACACGGAAGTGATGGCATTCGCTGGAAAAGATCCACTAAGAGCTCCAATATCTCTTGCTCTAGACAATAGAGGTCTAAGGGGTTGGATGGATTAGTTTGGGCAATGATCCTATAGCCTCCAAGGTTTGATTCTCACTGGCTAACCCCCTGTTTCTGAGATCATTCCTTGGTTGATAGCCTCCACCTTGGGAAAGGGTTGGCTAGGCATTGAGAAGCCCAATATCAAGAGAAGCCTTGATACAAGGAGTTTTAAGAGCTAGATTGATTAAGTGTAGATTCCTTTGATTGCAAAACCCTGTCTTGAACCCTAATTCTCTCTTTATCTTGTTAAAGTCGTCACCTTTAGCTTTTTTGTCTCAACTCGACCCTAAACTCGATCGAGCTGGTACTCTGTTCCACTCGACTCGAGTCTTGGTCGAGCTGACTTACTTCACTGCTTTGTTTACTTTTATTGCACTGCATTTCATTTTTAGGTTGTTAGTGTTACTTCAAATCTATAACTGCTTGCTTGACTTTCTGGTTGTTTCATATTCTCATAGAGTGACAAGTTTCCCATTTTGGATTGATAACCTCTTATACTTCAATGACTATGATGGTTAAGAGGAATTGTTGACTGTGTTTGTGTTTGCATCTTACCACTCATCATTACCACTGATTGCATTCCACTCATCTCATTTCATTCTTTTCACATACACACGCACAAACACTCACCATCAACCGTCTACTCGACCAACCGGTCGAGTTGAGGAACTCGACCGGCCAAGCTTCAACTCGATCGAGCTAAGAAGTCAAAAGTCAAACCCGAAAATGTTGCTTCCCCCTTGACTTTCCTTTGACCCTAAATCTAAAACCTCTTGTATTTAAAGGCTCTAAGCCACGAAAAAACCACCAAGCTTTACTTTATTTTTGTTTTAGCCTTTCTTTAATTTATTGTCTTTTACTTTTTAGCAACCCTAATCCAATCTTTGTGTTCTTGAAGCTCTTGCTTCTTGAATCTTAGATCCTGGATTATTTGCTTTGTATTTGCACTTGCTTATTTCAATAAAAGTTGTTTAATTTCATCTCCTCTTTCTTATGATGTCTCTTTTATTGCATTTGCTTGTGTTTACATTCATGTGTAGTGAGTAGTTACCCATTGGGGTTTGAGATGGGATAGATTAGAGGTTTCATATGCTTAATCCTTCTAGCTTATGGTCTTAATCTAGATTCTCTCTCTTTTGGATAGATCTTAAGGCTACATGACCACTACCCCTGGCTTGTAAGTCCTTAGGCGACTCCCCACACGAAAGTGATGGCATTCGCTGGAAAAGATCCACTAAGAGCTCCAATATCTCTTGCTCTAGAAATAGAGGTCTAAGGGGTTGGATGGATTAGTTTGGGCAATGATCCTATAGCCTCCAAGGTTTGATTCTCACTGGCTAACCCCCTGTTTCTGAGATCATCCCAACCAACCCTTTCCCAAGGTGAAGGTTATCAACCAAGGAATGATCTCAGAAACAGGGGATTAGCCAGTGAGAATCAAACCTTGGAGGCTATAGGATCATTGCCCAAACAAGGAGCTAGTGCTTAAGAACATGCACTTCTTAAGAACATTCTTAAGAACATGCTTAAGAATCAAACAGGGGGTCCATCCACCCAGCTGGAGTTGCCTTCTTCTTGTTTAGCTGGACACCAGCTGCGTAGAGGATAGGGGTGATTATCCCTCCAACGCTCAGCCTCCTTCCTTGTTGAAATCGAGTGCTATAGGCTGTGGTGCTGTAGGAGAGTAGTTGATCGAGGAGGGGCATGAGGTTTCCTGCGTGTGCTCTATCTCCTCTGAGCTTCTTTCATCCCTGGTGCGTGAGATGATGGGCTTAATCCCCATGTCAAGTAGCTTAACTTCTCCTTCATTGATCGTCCCTGTTGCCTTCTTGCAAAGAAGGTGTTGGCAAGGGCTTTGTGCACATATCTCAGCACAGACTCCTTATCTGAGCAGCCTTGGATCTTAAAGAAGAGAACTCTCCTTCAGCGATTGTAGCCCACACACGTTGGAGCTCATTCTCTTGATATCCCAATGGGTTCCTTCCCCATATGTGAAGCCAAAAAAGATCTCTAGCTGCCTAAAGGTGATAATCTTCCTTTCTCCCTTTGCCAAGAATGTTATCCATCCCCAGCCTTGGTCCAAGTCAGCTCGATCGAGCTCATCATACTCGTGGTACCTCATCGATGCCAATAACTCACAAGTGAGCTCCTTGTATGATTCCATGCGATGAGAGAAGAACTTGGCCAAGTGCATGTTCTTAAGCACTAGCTCCACATCCTTGAAGATCCCAAAGCCTTCATTGTATCATCATGTGGGTACTTGGTTTCCACAAAGTCCATGGAGAAGAGAGCATTGTAGTGCTCTTGGAAACATGGGGAGTTCATCCTCCACTTCTTGTGGCTCAGCCTCCTCCATTGGCTCATCTTGGTTACTCTTATCAACCTCTTGATTAACCTCCTCTCCTTCTTCACTTGGAGAGCCATCACTTTCCTCTTCTCCATGATTGACCCCAATCTCAAATTCTCCTTGCTCGCTCTCACTACTTATTGGGTCATTCCTCTTCTTGGTCCTTCTCTCTTCCCTCAATCTTTCACTCTCAGATTCCAACTCTCTGATAATACCCCTCACCCTCAGAAACTCCAATCCTTGACTCATTCCTTCCAATCGGCTTGCAACCTTTGCCTCTCTTTCGCATTGCTTGATTCACCCTCAACCATTCTCCTCTGCGAAGCACGGCTTCCCTCACTGCTTGTCATCTTTGTTATGCTGCTTTTCCAACTAAGGTTCCTGAAATTCATAAAAGATTCCAAAGAGTTAGAGTTGTAATGATCGATTCGGTCAACTCGACACCAACTCGATCGAGTCAAAAAACTCGAGTGACAAACTCGATCGAGCGGGTGAAAACAGAGCAAAACCGAATCTAAATCAAGTATTAAGAGCTGGATAGGATGCTAAACAATCAAATTGAACTAAGAACATCAAGAACTTGGAACAATAAGCAATTCTAAGTGAAGACTATAGCATCCTAACCAATACCAAACTCAAATTCAAGGTTTCAAGCACATGCAACAATTTAATGGCAAAACAGAGGTGAGGTGATGAATATGAAAGCAATTACTCAAGAAAAGTCCACAAGGGACACATGCAATCAAAATTCAAGAGAACAACATGCAATAGAGAGGAATCGAACTTAAGGATTGGGGGTTTAGGGTTCATACCTTGCTTGGATGATGATTGAACTAGAACAGTAGCTAGAAACTAAAGCAATTCAAGAAATGAGCAAGGAGAATCGCAAAAACTCAAGAGAGGATAAGAAGATTTTCGGATTTTCTTAGAGAGAAGGGAGAGAGATGAGTGATTTCAGAAAATTTTGAGTGTGGGAGAGAGAAGGGGTTGTGCGATCGAGTTATGGGGAAGAGGGAGTGTTTGAGATGTGTGGTGAGGATTAAAAGATGGTTTAAAGAGGGGACAAAAGCTAGGGGTTTTTCTGATCGATTTAGGAAGTGGGGGACCAAAATTTACATGTGGGACCCACCCCCTTGACCAAGGAAACGGTTAAAAATTTGAAATTCAAAAATTTACCTTGGTCGAGTTGTGGAACTCGATCGAGTTACCTTTGTTTCTGGCTCGATCGAGCTGTCGGTCGAGCTGGCTTCTTGTCACCTAAACTTAATCTTCCTGAAAGGTTAAGACACAAAATACTAGATAGAAATTGCAATAAAGAATATGTACAAGGATAGTCATGGGACTTCCTCCCAAGTGAGCTTGTTTAAGGTCCCATAGCTTGACCTTTACCTCTTAGGCATTGGTTGAGCTAGTCCCACCATCAAGGGTGATAGTGAGGACTTGAGACAGAAGCTCCTTTAGCTTGGTTGGTCCCTGGACTGCTCTGAAGTGACCAAGGCCTTGGCTCTAGAGAATGGTCTTGATCTCCCCTTGTACCTTATCTTGTACTCAATCTTCCCATTTTCAAACTTGGTGGGGAACAAGGTCATAGTGAGCTGAGATGGCTTGGCTGAGGAAACCTGAGCTGGTGGGTCCTTTCTTTTCTCTCCCACAAGTGCCTTTGAGGCTGCATCCTCCCCTTCTTTTTGAGCGCTTCCTAGTGGCTCATCAAACAAAGCTTGAAGGCTTTCTTCATCAAGGACACAAGGTGCTTGAACAAGTCTATCAGCTCGTGGCCTATCAGATCGTGGTCTCTCAACTCTAGGCCTCTCAAGGCGTGGTTTCTCAATCCTTGTCCTTATCAACTCTTTGATCCTTCTCAACCTTATCTCTCACAACTCTTGGTTCTTTTTCAACCTTTTCCTTCACAACCTTAGCAACTCAGACTCTTGGAACTGAGAGGAGTGCTTTCAATGGTACACAAAGTCTGATCCTCTAGGCTGCAAGCGATAAGACACCAAACTATTCACCTTGTGAAGAATCACTTCTTGCTTGTGAAAGTCTATTGAAGCGCCAACTGTGCTAAGGAATGGGGTTCCCAATAGCAGAGGTAGATCCTTCTCTTCTTCCATCTCCATGACAGTGATCAGTTTGGATGATGCATTCTCCTATTTTCAAGTGATAGTTCTTGAACACACCAAGAGGAGACTTGAAGTTGCATCTCCAAACATGATTGAAGTAGTAGGGCGCTGCAATGCTCCAGCAATGCCAAGCTTTTCTGCCATTGTGAGGAGATGAGGTTGATGCTTGCACCAGAATCCACCAAGGCATTGTCAAGCTCAATATGCCCAAGTGTGCAAGGGAGAGTGAACTTCCCTTGATCCTTCACCTTTGGTAAGAAAGTAGGTGAGGTAAGCAGGTTGATTTGGTGAGTAGACATCTCCAGAAGCTCTGAAACCTTTCCTGTTAGCCATAACATCTTGAATCAACTTCATTTGCTCAAATGCCTCACTCATGCTTTCCATAGAAGGCAACTCAACTCCAATCTCACTGAGGTCTCTTCTGAACTTGTGAATCACTTCCTTATGGCCTTGACTGAGTAGGCGGCCTGATGAGGGTTTAGGACGGATGATGTCTGACTCGATCGAGCTAGAGTTCGACTCGATCGAGCTGCCGATCGAGCTTGTTGTGCGAGCTCAACTGGTGAAGTGTGAATGGCTACAGTAGTGCTTGCACTTCAGGTTGATCAATCTGGACTCCAGGAGCCTCAGCAGCAACAATCTCGTCGTCATTCAGCAGCAAACAAACTCTTCCATGACTCTCTCTTGATCCTCCTCTTCTTCAAGACCTTCTTGAGTGAAGATGACCTTGCACTGTTCCTTGGGGTTCTGAATAGCTTTACCAGGTAGTTGTCCTTGCTTTGTAGCAGCAGCAACAGAAGAAGCATGATTCTCCAGAGAGTACACTCTTGTGTTGAGATTCTCAATCTTGGAGTTGATTTCAGCTAACTTCTTGCTTGTGTCCACAACACCATCAGCTTGACCTTGAGCAATTGTTTCAACATAGCCTTGAGCTCATTCTCAGGTGTAGGTGCAGGCTGGGGTGGTTGGTGGGGAAAGCCAGGTGGTATGTGCATTTGCTGACCAGGAAAAGTCCCTTGAGGGCCTTGGTAGTTGTTTTTGGACCATACCCATGTTGTGGGCTTGACTCGATCGAGCTTGCTGTTGTTGAGGGTAAACCTGGTCCTGAGGGTTGGCAACATCAGTGTTTCTGTATGACATGGCTGGGTTGGACTTGTAATTATAATATCCTTTGTTGTAACCTCCTTGCCCATTGCTCATGTAACATACTTCAGCAAATTGTGTATCCTCCCCTTCTTGGACTGGTTCCATCTCTTCAGCAGACACAAAATTGACCTTCTTCATTGTGGACTGAGCTAAGATAAGCTTATCCAACTTCTCATTCAACGATTTGACATCTTTTCTCAATTTCTCATCGGACTCGATCGAGTGGTGGGTCGAGCTCCGGTTGGTGCGATCATACTCTTCTCCATAGCTTCCATTGGAGTTTGCAATGTTTTCCACAAGCTGCCAACCATGGACGTCTCTCAAGGTGGAAAACTTCCTTAGAACTATCTGCATCACACTCTTTAGGCATCACAGTCAAAACCTTGTCTCTTAAGCAACTTTCGTGATCAGAGTTCACTGATTTGATAACTTCATAAGATCTTATGTAAAGAGCTTGCTTGGAAACGTTTTGAGGTTTCTCCTTCTCTTCTCCATGGTTTAAACTCAATCTGCTGCCATTCCTAATGGTTATACAATAAGAGCTCTTGGTAGGGACTGCTGGATAAAAGACTCTCTTCTTTACTCTAGAGAAAGAAACTCTTTGGTTTGGATAGTTCACATTAGCTCCAACTGTTGCAAGGAAGGAACTACCAAAAACCAATGGTGTTAGTGTAGGACCTCAATTAACAACACTAGGCAACTGATATAAGTAAGAGCAACATAAGAACAACAAATCAAATTTCAATACCAAATCACTGTCGAGGAAGATGAAAAGCAGAGTTGAGGTTTGAATCTCTTTCCTTAAATATTTTAAACGCCCCGTAGTGTTGACGGTTTTGTGGCGGTAAGATTCCCAGGATACAACTGCTTAAATTTCCGTCTCCCAACACCGGAGAACAGAACCTAACGAACCTAGATACTATGGGTACTCTCAAGGAGGAAAAACAGAAGAATAAGAGATTGTGAAGAATTATTGTGATCGTGTGTTTAGGGTATCATAATGAGCTCAAGAGCCTTTATATAGAAAAGAATGAGATCAAATGACATAATTGCATGGTCTTCGTATTGACCAAAAACATATCACACATAATGGAGAGTATCATAACGTATAATCAAACATTAATTTACACGACTTTGACCACGTTATTATAGCATTTTGCTTTGATCAAATTTAAAGCAATAATATTTTAATTACATGGATTTTTTTTTGTGTGAATTAATCTTAACACAAAAGATTAACTTTAATTTGGTTCACAATAATAAGTTAATGGACTTGATATCCAATTAACAATTATAACCCAAACTTCAAATCCAAATATCTAATATGGGCTATTTGCTAATTTTACACTTAGCCAAATATATAAAACTTTATAAGCTTTTATAAACACCCATTTATAAACTCCATTTCTCATTCAAATCAACTCTGATTTTGACATATGAATACATTATTTCATAGTGTTCATGGCGACGATTCTTTCGTGCCTAACATATGGTTTTTCCGACAAACGTCTTCACCGGAAAACCAACCGGAAAATGGTCTTAAACCATTTTGTCAAAAACGAGTTCCAACAATCCCCCACATGAATAGAAATGAATCTAGACAAAAAGAAAAGACTCAAAAAGATAAAATAAAAAGGACTTTTGAGAGTATAAACGAAAAATCCACTGCATATGAGTTGGTAGCATTTTTCAGCCTTGAACCAAATCACTGTTAATAGCTATCGGGTTTACTCGACCAAGAGGTGAACATGATGTCTTGAACCTCTCGGGCTTTGATGTAAACCAAGACAAACTATAACACAGTTTCATTCTCTCACAGAACTAGGTTCTCTATTGTGTTCATTTTGGCCATGAACATACTTGGATAATCATGAGTGAAGTTGGAGAATATAGCCTTTTATTTATTCTCCTAGAAACGGCCCCATTTCACACTCACAAGGTGATTCGCCATTAACTTTGTTTAAAGGAGTATCATGTACTACTCCATGTATATTTCAAAGTTATGGACCCAAATCATTAAAAGCTAATGCTTATCCTCTATACCATACATGTAACACTGTTATCATCCTAGGAACTGGGAATAGATATAAATCTCACAGTGTTTTTGGGCAGATTCAGTTTAACTTAGTTTTCCCCTTGAACCTATTTCTTGGGATCTCCAGTCATTTAGGTAGGGTTACCATTAAACATCCTCTTAAGTCATAGGCTTTTAACCATTCCTCTTGATGATTTTACAACTTGATCTCATGACACACCTTTAATATTTGGATCCTAGGTTGTCATTTACTTGAATATAATCTATAAAGATTATTTCATTTTGAGATTAATTGTTTTTAAATATTTAGGAGTAGCAACATTTTTCCATGTACCCCCACATTTTCAAGGTATTGTACAAATGTACTTAACCTTCTCAAAGTTCATAAACATTTTGTAAATGACTTTATGTGGTAAGCAATGCTTTTCCCCCACATTTCTCTTTACTTGATTTGCATTTTGGAAATAAGTATGAATTAAACAATCTCTTATAGATATATAATTTCATGCCTTAACCATTCATAACAAATATGAAAAGACTTAATCAAAAAAGAAACATCATTATTCTTATTGATTGAAAAAAAAACAGAAACAACATTATTCTTAGGAGTTACAACTCAGTTTCGGATGACTGGCATGACACACATTTTGACAAGTCCATCCTTAACATACCCCTTTCCCAAATAAACTCCATGTTTCTTGAGCACAAGCTTGTCAGACTCGAAATTGGTAGCAAATCCGGCCTTACTCATAAGAGTACCAGAAATCAGATTCTTTCTCATGTCTGTCACATGCTTCACATTTTGGAGAGTGATCTCCTTTCCTGAGGTCATCTTCAGCACCACTTTGCCATGACCCTCAATCTTGGAAGAACCAGTGTTTCCCATCAATAGGCGTTCTCCATTGTTGCATTTCTGATAGGTACTAAACATGTCCCTATCATTGCAGATGTGGATAGTGGCACCTGTGTCATACCACCACTCCCTTGGGTTGTCCTCAACATTGTTGACTTCAGTGACCACAGCACACAAGTCATCTTCTGTGAGGTGAGCCTGAGACTTCCCTTTGTCTTCACTTGGACCAGCTTTTGACGCAACATTAGCTTTGTGGCCCATCTTGCCACACTTGTGGCACTTCCATTTGAACTTCTTTGGTTCAGCTTGCTTCTTGAAGCTTGTGGAGGAGTGTGGAGGAATTTGTCCTTTCCCATTTCTCTTTTGCTCAGCCAAGTTCACATCATTCGCACGAATGAAAACAGCATCGGCTTCGCGGTTTCGGGATTCAACCCGCAGCTTGACAATTAAGTCTCGAGGGTAATTGCCTTACGCTTGTGAGTGAGATAGTTTTTGAAGTCCATCCACCCTGGAGGAAGCTTCTCAATGAAGGAATTGACAGTGAAAATTTCACAAATCGACATACCCTCAGCGCTATCTCATGCGTAATCAATTGCAAGGCTTCAACTTGTTCCATGATGGGTTTTGAATCCACCATTTTGAAGTTGAGAAATTTCGCCGTAGCGTATTTCTGACAGCCAGCATCCTCGGACTTATACTTCTTCTCCAAGGCCAACCAAAGTTGCTTGGAGGTTTTCGCCTCACAGTACACATTGTACAATGGGTCTATCAAGCGGCTTAGAATCCAGCCCTTGCACAGAAAGTCTGACTGGGTCCACCGATCCATAATGGTTGAATCAGTGTTCCCTGGTGGGACAACGGGTGCATCATCTTTCAGATACTTGTCAAGGTTCAAATTGGTCAAAAAGAAAAGCATCTTTTGTTGCCAAGTTTTGAACCCATTCCCACCAACTTTTCTGGCATCAATCCTACGCTTACAGCGCCAGGCATTGAAGGGTTTGTAAGTGGCTGACCACTCCCAAATTGGGGCGTCGACTCACTTAACCCATTTCCATGAGCATCACCTCCAACGGTTCCAACATCGACTGGAGCATCTTTGTTTTGTCCGTCGATCAAAGCTTGGGTGCCAGAAGTCATATTGGAATTCAAATATGTTCACAAGAACAAACAACAAAAATGAATCAATATACTTCTTAAAAAACCATAAACAAGTTTAGAGGAATTATATTGCAATTTAATCAATAAAATAAATCACAATAATCAATTAAATGAACAAATTTCAGAATACACAAATTCAAAAATTAACCATTTAATTTCAATGCAAAGACACGCTCATGCATGCAAACGCAGTTTAAGCTTTATGAGAAAATGCATCTAACATTATTGGTGGATATTTAAGTGAATAAGGTGTTACAACATATACAAAGGTGTTCCAACATATTGCGAACAGGTGTCTTTGGTATAATCATTAAATGGACGGTTGCAAACGTCCATTGAAGCCTTATGAGAACTTTATAAGTTCTGTTGTCTCTCTGAGACATGAGACAGAAGAATTTCGAGATCTACAGAGATAGATCTGATTCACAAAAGCAACCAAAGTAAACACACACAAGATCTCTTCTTGTTACTCTTTGATCTTAAGCCTAGACAAAGAGTGGACGTGATTGTCTTATCCTGCGAGGGATTTCGTGTAACCCAAGGCTGTATAGGGTCGAAATACTCTTTAAGGAAACTGCTTCGTACAGGATTCAATCACAATCCAAGATACCCAAACTTTTCTCTCTGAAACACAGTTTTCATTGTTCCAACACCCTGCGCTCTGTTCCAACACCGCGAAACAGAGGAGATAAACCAACAATCTTAAAGAGTATTTTCTGAGAACGATGCTGGTGTTTCTGTGCGTGAGATGACTACCAAGTTTGGGAAATTAGAGAAGTCTGGAGGAGTCGAATTCAGAAGATGGCAGAAGAAGATGCACTTTCTTCTCACACCCCTTGATATGGTGACTGTTCAAAGCATGTTGATGCCCACCACATTGGAGGACCGAAATCTGCAAATTGGCTAAGGTATGATCACAACCGTGGAATGATATGGTTAGTGACTGGCGTAGGTTGCTTCGATTAAGTTATCGGTTTAGTTACTTTGACATGTTCCAACATAGATCCGCTGTTCCAACAACAGTCGGAAATGATAGTTTCTTATGGCATATGAGATTAGGCCATGTACATTATGCTAGGATGCTTGAAATGTCGAAGGAAGGTTTAATTCCTGGTTTTGACATGAATGTAGAGAAATGCAGAACATGTATGTTGACTAAGATAACTAGGAAGAAATTTGATAGCATTGTTAGGGTATCGGAAGTCCTTGGACTGATTCATAGTGATTTATGTGATTTGCATGCTACACCATCTCTGGGGAATAAGAAATATTTTGTCACATTCATTGATGATTATTCCAGATATTGTTCTGTATATTTGTTGCACTCTAAGGATGAAGCCTTAGAGAAATTCAAGGTTTACAAAACTGAGGTTGAATTGCAACAAAGTAACTTGATTAAAAAGTTACGCACCGATAGAGGTGGTGAGTATTATGATCCTGCTTACTTTCAGTCTGTGGGTATAATACATGAGGTCACAGCTCCTTATACACCACAACAAAATGGTGTATCTGAGAGGAAGAACAGAGTCCTTAAAGAAATGGTTAATTCCATGTTATCCTACTCTGGATTGAGTGACGGTTTCTGGGGTGAGGGCATGTTAACAGCATGTTACTTGTTGAACAGAGTTCCTAACAAAAGGAACAAGATAACCCCATATGAACTTTGGTACAAAAAGAAGCCTAACTTGAACTACCTTCGAGTTTGGGGCTGTAGTAAGACTACCCCAACCAAAGATAAGAACTTTGGGAGAAAGAGGTATTGATTGCATCTTTATTGGTTATGCTGAGCATTCCAAGGCTTATAGGTTCTATGTCATTGAACCTAATGATTCTATAGCAGTTCACACTGTGATTGAGTCAAGAGATGCAATATTTGATGAGAATCGTTTCACATCAATACCTAGACCAAAGGATCTGGTTTCGTTTGGAACTGGACAAGGAGATGGTACAAACGTACGTTCCAACATCTCGGCTTGTGTTCCAACAACCAGCGAGTCACCTGTACTTCGTAGAAGTAAGAGAGGAAGGATTGAGAAATCATTTGGTCCTGAATTCCAAATTTATTTGGTAGAAGGTTCAAGAGATGAGATTGTTCTACAATACTCATATTGTTACCTAGTTGGTGATGAACCTAGGACATTCAGTGAAGCTATGGCTTCCATTGATGCTGCTTTCTGGAAAGAAGCTGTAAATGATGAGATGGACTCTATAGTAGGAAGCAATACATATTTCCTGACTGATCTCCCACCTGGTTGCAAAGCTTTAGGCTGCAAGTGGATTTTCACAAAGAAAATGTTGATCGGTGGTGCAATCGATAAGTTCAAAGCTCGATTGGTTATACAAGGTTTTAGACAAAGGGAAGGCATTGATTATTTTGATACATATGCTCCTGTTGTCAGAATCTCTTCTATAAGGTTCTTGATTGGTTTAGCAGCCATTCATGATCTTGTGATCCATCAAATGGATGTTAAGACTGCATTTTTAAATGGTGTCTTGGAAGAAGAGGTGTATATGGAACAACCAGAGGGATTTGTTGTGCCTGGAAGTGAGCACAAGGTGTGCAAGCTGGTGAAATCACTGTATGGGCTGAAACAAGCTCCTAAGCAATGGCATCAAAGATTTGATGAAGCTGTCTTGTCTTTTGGTTTTAAGATTAACCAATCAGATAAGTGTTTATATAGCAAGTTTGATGATTCCAGTAATGGAGTGATCATTTGTCTATATGTGGATGACATGTTGATCTTTGGTACCAACCTTAGATTAGTGGAACTCACAAAAGAGTTTTTGTCATCAAATTTCGCCATGAAGGACATGGGGGAGGCGGATGTGATTCTTGGTATTAGAATCAAGCGTGACAATGGGAGGATATGTTTATCACAATCTCACTACGTTGAGAAAGTGTTAAAGAAGTTCAATTACTTGAACTGTGCCCCTGTAAGTACTCCCATGGAGGCAAGTGTGAAACTTATGCCTAACACAGGAAAGGCTGTGTTGCAACACGAATATTCTCAAGTGATTGGATGCTTAATGTATGCAATGACAAGCACAAGGCCAGATATTGCATATGCAGTTGGAAGGTTGAGTAGATACACTAGTAATCCTAGTACTCACCATTGGCAGGCTGTAAAGCGTGTGCTCAAGTACTTGAGAGGAACCATGGACTATGGTTTGTGTTATGGAGGATTTCCTTCGGTTTTGGAAGGTTATTCTGATGCAAGTTGGATCACCAACGTGGAAGATCATACTTCTACAAGTGGTTGGGTGTTCCTACTTGGGGGAGGTGCCATTTCTTGGGCATCTAAGAAACAAACTTGTATCACAAGTTCGACTATGGAATCTGAGTTTGTGGCTTTGGCAGCTGCTGGTAGAGAGGCTGAGTGGTTGAGAAACCTTGTCTCTGAGATTCCATTGTGGTCGAAACCAGTGTCTCCTATCTCAATCCATTGTGATAGTCAAGCAACTTTGGCTAAGGCTTATAGCCAAGTGTACAATGGAAAGTCGAGACACCTTGGCGTAAGGCATAGCGCTGTTCGTGAATTGATCACTCACGGTGTGATAACTTTAGAGTTTGTTCGGTCTCAGCAGAATCTAGCAGATCACTTGACGAAGGGTCTGTCTAGGGACTTGGTAATAAAGTCAGCTGAAGGGATTGGTTTGAAGTCCATCTCAAACCTCTAGTCGTGGGACACCCAACTCCCTTCTAGTACAACGCTAGGAGCTGAGTTCAAGGTGAGCCCATTCCTTGAGAGGTTGTAGCACTGTTTATGTAATCCCAAAGGAAGTGCTTATTATCTGCATGAAAGTTTAGGTTGAAGTATGACTTCTTAATAGATCCTTTGAAAAATTGCAAATGCAGAAGCAAGATGTAAAGGATCTACCTATGTGAGTGTGAAGTGTAGCCGCTTCAAGAAGCTTGGACTTGGCTTTCTATGCACTCATGAGAGGATTGGACACATGGCTGTTAATAGTGTCAAGAAACATTAAGAGTAGTGAGAAACTCATGCGTGTTTCACCCTCTCGTGGCCAAAGTAGTTGATAAGTTCAATCCATAGGACACTTTGATTCTCGGTCATTAGATGCGTGTGATTCACAGTATGTAAATTCAATCGATACGACATTTATATATATGCATGTGGTTTGGTTTATTCGTTGCTGGAAATGAAAGATTACACTTAAATGGGGGAGGAATGTTGGATATTTAAGTGAATAAGGTGTTACAACATGAACCAAGTTGTTCCAACATGTTGCGAACAGGTTACTTTTGGTTCAATCATTAAACGACGGTTGCAAACGTTTCGTTGAGGCCTTATGAGAACTTTATAAGTTCTGTTGTCTCTCTGAGACAAGGACAGAAGAAATTCGAGATCTACAGAGATAGATCTGATTCACAAAAGCAACCAAAGTAAACACACACAAGATCTCTTCTTGTTACTCTTTGATCTTAAGCCTAGACAAAGAGTGGACGTGATTGTCTTATCCTGCGAGGGATTTCGTGTAACCCAAGGCTGTATAGGGTCGAAATACTCTTTAAGGAAACTGCTTCGTACAGGATTCAATCACAATCCAAGATACCCAAACTTTTCTCTCTGAAACACAGTTTTCATTGTTCCAACACCCTGCGCTCTGTTCCAACACCGCGAAACAGAAGAAATAAACCAACAATTATTCTGTCTAGAATAAACAAACTTTTCTCATGCACGCAGTTCAAGCTTTACTAAACAATTCTCGGAAGACAACTTATTATGCAACGAAACTCATAATATATATAATAATATTATACACATGCAAATAAGCCTCTCAAATAATTGCATCAACAAACCAAACTTAATTTCCAGAACATGACAAAAGCAAATTAAACTCATATTATAATAAAATGCTAAAGATGTGATCTTATTTTTGCTAAACATTTAACATAACCAGAACACATAAACCTTTAACCGCACAACAAGTCAAAGAATAAACAATCGTCAAAGTATAATGCCCCGACCGTCCCTTCCCGGTGAGTCACCCACGCCCTCTCTCTGGGCCCGCAGGCCCATCTCGGCCCGTGGGCCTCACCCCTGTCCGACGGCCGGTCCGTTATTTTCGAGAGGCTCTAATGACTTGTTTACTATCCCTGCAATCAACACCTGACCTTTCCCCGTGTTTTGGCCTCACTCACACGGTTTCGGAAACCACTTCCCGAAAGGTCACCCATCCTTCAACTACTCCAGCACAAGCACGCTTAACTGGAGTTACTTATAGACCTTTGACCGAAAAGGTAAGTGCACTTTGTTGACATAGGTAGCCAAATCAATTCTCTTAAGCCTCTCCTCATTTATCACAAACCGGGATGTTACAACTCACCCCCACTAACTGCGCGCAACGTCCTCGTTGCGCACCTGGATCGTCACCCCCTGACGGTGTGAGTCAAGGCCACTTCAACTTGACTCCACACTCTCGTCTGGGTTTGGCTCTGATACCAAATTATAACGCCCCGACCGCCCCTCCGGTGAGTCACCCACGCCCTCTCTCTGGGCCCGCAGGCCCATCTCGGCCCGTGGGCCTCACCCCTGTCCGACGGCCGGTCCGTTATTTTCGAGAGGCTCTAATGACTTGTTTACTATCCCTGCAATCAACACCTGACCTTTCCCCGTGTTTTGGCCTCACTCACACGGTTTCGGAAACCACTTCCCGAAAGGTCACCCATCCTTCAACTACTCCAGCACAAGCACGCTTAACTGGAGTTACTTATAGACCTTTGACCGAAAAGGTAAGTGCACTTTGTTGACATAGGTAGCCAAATCAATTCTCTTAAGCCTCTCCTCATTATCACAAACCGGAATGTTACACAAAGGTTCAAGCTCCAAAATTAAGCCCAGGAATAAATGATTCGATTGTTTGCACTACAAGAAACTCGTTCGATAACGTCACTTTATTAAAGGTGCTATGAAAATCGACGTTAAGTTTTTCAAAAGGAAGGAATTTAGGGTCACTTATTAAACTGACTTAAGTTTTAACGTCAAAATAATCAATATGGGCTACAAAAGACGAAGGCCCAAATAAGTTTCGGCTGATTTATTTTTATTTGTTTAATTGTTTCAATTACTTGCTGATATCTTTATTCAGAAATTGGGATCTTACGATTTCAAATTAATGTCACTGTTCAAACGTTAGGATTCGATTCACTCTTTCTCTTTCTCGAAGCTCTGAATTGTTCGGAGGAGACCTGTGAATTTCTTATTGGCGGGTCTGTTTATCGGAGGAGATATTGACATTGAAGGTCTCTCGACATCGTCGGCATTGAAGGTTTGTACGAATTTGATCTGTCAAATTTTATTGGTTCAAGCTCGAAATTGAAGCATCTAACATCTAAATTTTTGGGAATCGAAGGTTTATTCAAGTTTATGGGGGAGAGAATCGAACATTACTAGCTTGAGAATCGAATCGAACATCACAAGCTTCTGCTTCGAGGTATCGTATCTCTTCATTAGCTTGATTTTACTCTCTCTTTTTTTTTTTTTCTGGGAATTAGCTTCGTGAGTGTATCATAGGTTGTTTGAGACGAATGCTTGTTCAAGCTTACCTTTTCTATAGATGAATGCTATCAAGGGTCAAATCTTAAATTTGGTTTTCATGGCAATCTTAATTTTGGTTTGTGCTTCGTGAGTGCTATCATAGGTCAAAATTCATGTTTCTGCTTGTGTAAATGATTGATTCCATAGATGAATGCTATCACATGAATGCATTGATGATTATGGCTTCTGTTTAACTCCTTTTATATGCGTTGATGCTTATGATTATGGCTTGTTTCTTAGTTAAGATAGTCAAATCCTATAAACGTTTTTGAAACTATCTTTGAAACTCACATAAGTGAGTTTCACCCTTATCTAGTGAGTTTCACTTTTATCTAGCAAGTGATAAGTTTGTGTGTTTGATTTGAGTTTTTAGGTGGATATGGATAAGTCATGGATAACAAAATCTCGTTTGACCATTGATTATATTATCCATGATAACAAGGGGTTTTTAGATTTTGCCTTTGGGAAGATCAAGGCAGACATGTTGAAATGTCCATGTCAACGTTGTTCCCTTGCCAAATACAAGTCCAGAGTTGAGATTGAAGGAGATTTGATGTGTCATGGTTTTCTCTGCACGTATACAAACTGGTATCTACACGGTGAAGACTTAGAGGACACTCCACAAGCTTTTAGTTTAGATCATCAACCAAAGGTCGATCATATAGATAGCTCTACCTTCAATCTACTCGCTGATATTTTCCTAAGTATGAAGTCAGACTCTCCAACCATAGATTCTGACCCTCCGAACTTAGATTCAGACACTCCAAATATCAAGATGGAACCTGATGAATCTGCTGACATGCATGAGGATCCTTTGAAGGAAAAAAAGGCATTGGATGAGTTGCTATCAGATTGTAGTCAGGCTCTTTACGAAGGTTGCCAGTCATTCAGCAAGCTAACGTTTATGCTCAAGCTGTACCACATCAAGTGTCTCTCTAGGATAAGTGATAAGGGTATGTCTATGATAATCGATCTTCTGAGAGAAGCTTTTGAGCATGCAAGATTTCCAGATTCATTCAATGATATGAAGAAGACAATACGCAAGTTAGGTTTGACATATCAGACAATTCATGCTTGCCCTAACGATTGCATGTTGTATTGGGGAGAAGACGCATCTAGAGAGAAATGCAAAGTCTGTGAAGATTCAAGGTGGAAAGCGTCAGAAATAAAAGAAGATGATACACTGGAAAAAAAGAAGAAGAAGAAAAAGAAGCAACAAGCTGCTAAGATCCTTAGGTATTTTCCTCTTAAGCCACGCTTGCAGCGTTTGTATATGTCATCAAAAACGGCGCAACATATGAGATGGCATGCTGAATCTGAGAATAAAGATGGTAAACTGAGACATCCTAGAGATGGAATGGCTTGGAAGAATTTTAACCAACAGTTTCCTGAATTTGCAGTAGAACCAAGGAATGTTTGGTTAGGATTAGCAACTGATGGTTTCAACCCGTTTGGTACAATGAGTACAAATTATAGTGTTTGGCCTGTTTTTTTGTTTCCATACAACTTCCCTCTATGGATGGCAATGAAACAGACTTCAACGATCCTTTCTATGGTCATTCCTGGAAACAAAATGCCAGGTAATGATATTGATGTGTATCTTCAGCCTCTTATTCAAGAACTAAAAGATTTGTGGTATGAAGACGTGTCTACTTTCAATGCTTCACAAAAGGAGACATTTTGTATGAAGGCAGCTTTGTTATGGACAATTAGTGATTTCCCCGGACTTGGGAATCTATCTGGTTGGAATGTGCATACATGTTTAGCATGTCCGTCTTGTAGTTTCGATGCCACTCAAAAGCGTCTTAACTATGGAAAAAAGTATTGCTTCATGGGACATCGTCGTTTTCTTCCTCAAGACCATAAGTTTAGAAAGGATAAGCAACATTTCAATGGTTTTATAGAATCAAGGCCTCCTCCAATCAGACCATCAAGCTTTGCTATTTCTCAGCAAATTGAAAATGTAGATGTTACTTTGGGAAAAAAGAGAGGTCGATAAGCTGCGGGAAAGAGTGAAGTACATCAGTGGAGAAAAAAGAGCATCTTCTTTGAGTTACCATACTGGAAAGATCTTCTCTTGAGGCATAACCTTGATGTTATGCATATAGAGAAGAATGTATTCGATAATCTAGTGTTTACTTTACTGGATGACAAAGGTAAATCCAAAGATAATCTTAATGCAAGAAAGGATCTTCAAGCACTTGGGATACGCTCTGAACTATGGCCTGATGCTAATGGTAGATTTCTTCCAGCGTGTTTCACAATGACCAACTGTGAAAAGGATAGTTTTCTTAACATTTTGAAGAATGTGAAGCTACCAGATGGATATTCTTCGAATATTTCTGCTTGTGTTGATCTGAATCAACGGAAAATGGTGGGTTTGAAGAGTCATGATTGCCACATATTGATGGGTCAGTTGTTATCTATCGCTATACGTAATGTGTTGCCTCAAGAGGTAGCATTTGTTGTTATGGAGTTGTGTCATTTCTTTAGGGAAATATGCTCGAGGGTAATTGATATCAGTTATATGGAAAAGTTGCAGGAACATATTGCTCTCACCTTATGTCATCTAGAGATGGTATTCCCACCTTCTTTTTTCACAGTAATGGTGCACTTGACTATTCACTTGACTGAAGAAGTCAAATTAGGAGGACCAGTTCAATATAGATGGATGTATCCAGTCGAGAGGATCCTTGGACATTTGAAAACTTACGTTAGAAATCGAGCAAGGCCTGAAGGTTCCATATGTGAGCAGTTTATTGCAGAAGAATGTTTTGACTTTCAGCTCCATGTATCTTGAGGGGATAGAAACTAGATTTAACCGTGTTGAGAGAGTAGATGATCGTGTAGATCCAGTGTCTAAGCATTGCCTTGGTTCAAATTCACAGATTCCATTGATTTTTCCTTCGGTTGGAAGATTTGTTGGTGCTTCTAAATTGGATACTCTTGGATACTTAGAGTGGCAGCAAGTTCATCGCTATGTCTTATTTCATTGTCCTATCTTGGATGAATATCGCGAGTAAGTATATTACTTTAAGTTTAGTCTTAACTATATTTCAGTAAGTATATTTCTTGATAGAGTCTTTGTTTTTTTGGGATTATATATAGGATATTTAAGAATGAGTTAAGAAGATCTCAATCAAGACGTCGAAAGAGAGGTGGTGTTATAGATATTGATCGACATGTGCATCTCTATTTTGGTAAATGGCTGAAAGAAAGGGTTCAGAAAAATGATATCAATGGTTTATCTAGTGATATTCATTGTCTCGCACAAGGTCCTTCTGATAAAGTGTTAAAGTTTTCTGCGTTTAATGTTAATAGATTCAAATTCAGAACTGTGGAAAGAGATCAAGACTTAAGAATTCAGAATAGTGGAGTGTTTGTCTCGGCTGAAACCATTAGTTATGCAAGTTCAAGTGATCTTAACCCAAGAGCCGGAGATGTTTCTTATTATGGGAAACTAGTTGATATAGTTGAATTGAACTATTATGACTCTTTTAGAGTTGTATTATTCAAATGCAAATGGGCTAACACTTGTGATTCTAGAGGATACAGAAAGGATGAATTTGGTTATGATGTTGTGAATTTTTCTCGGCCAATACACACTGGGGTCAATGAAGAAGATGAACCATATATACTGGCTTCTCAAGCAAAATTAGTATATTATGTGGACGATCCACAAGAAAAAGAATGGAGTGTTGTAGTACGGGTGCAGCCAAGAGATTTATATGATATGGGTGATCTTGATGCTTCAAGTGATATTGAAGATTCTCCTACTACTCGAAGTTCGATGTTGATTTCTGATAATATTCCTAATATTACACTAGTGAGACAACTTAAGAATCTTGATGATCCGAGTGATTTAGATGCTATTACTAGTATGGAGGTATGATACTTGATGGTTTTTGTTTGTTCTGAATGGTTGTTTGTCTTGAATGGTTGTTTGTCTTTAATGGTTGTTTGTCTTGAATGTTTGTTTGTTCTCGTGCTAATCTTTTGATAAATATTTTGCAGGTTTAAGCCTGTCGAGAACAAGTTATGAACAAACACAGAATGAAAATATATCTGTTCCACCTCTTCTTGGACAAGAATTAGCATCTGGTAAATGGAAAGTTCATGTTAGAGGTTCGTAAAACTGAACTCCATTGAAAATTGACTTGTTCTTGTAATTGATGATGAGATCTGATGTTCTTGTAATTGTTGATGCTTATGGTTGTAGATGATGATGGAAAGATTACAGAAGAGAATATTTCTGGAAAGTAAGTTTGGAGTATGCAAAATCGTCGAGTTATTGTCGATTATAATCGCAGAGGACAACCTATCAAAGATTCAGGAGGCTTGTTGGGTTCATGGTTAGGTTCCCTAAGCTGAGATCTGAACATATTACCAATTAATTACAGTGATTGGAGGAAAGTTCCTGCATATAGGAAGGATATGGCACGGAATGTGATTCAGGTATTGTAGTTAACAATGTGAAAAGGATAGTTTCATTGTAACTAATGTTTTCATTGTAACTAATAGTTTAATTTGAATACAGAAAAAGTTCTGGTTCGACAACCCTATTAAAAGGAGAAAATATGTGATATCTACTTTGGGAGCCAGATGTAGGGATTTAAAGCGATGTCTCTGGAAGAAGTATAGAGGAAATACTCTAAAAGAATCACTTGAACAACGTCCGACATTGAATCCAGAAGACCAGTGGAGAGATTTTGTTCATGCTCAATTTACAGATAAAGCCAAGGTATATCTTGTTTTGTTCATGTTAAAAGATTTCATGTTAACTATAGAAAGCCAGCGAGCGTAATACTACGAGTCGAAGCAACTTAAAGATACCACATGCACTTGGAAAAAAGAGTATTGCAAGGAGATCTAATGAGATTGTAAGTTTTCTAGTGTAGTTTTTCTTTTAGGAAGAACAAGGTGTTCTTGAATCAAGTCTTTGCTTTTTAAATATGTTTCAGGAAGAACAAAGTGGTGTTGAACCAAGTCGAGCTGAAATGTTTATTGCATCACGCATGAGATCTGATGGAAGTATGATTTCGGAGGAAGCAAAGTGCTGTGCGGTTAGTTTTCATTTCTGCAAATGCTTGATTTCCGAGGAAACAAAGTTAGATACTTGTTTAGATATCTTTAGTTTAGATAAGTAAGTGATAACTCTGTTTCCGGATTGATTCAATTTTATAGGAGAAACTTAAAGAAGTGATAGATCAGAAACTTCCGGGACAAACATCAAGTGATGAAGCTATTTCTAAAGTTTTTGGTCATGAGCATTCAGGACGAGTTCGATTCATAGGTCATGGCCCAACGCCGTCTAACTACTCATCAAGTTTGGATTGTGCATCATCTATGGAGTTGGTTGAGCTTAAGTCATTAGTGAAGAGTTTCGTTGGTAAAGTTGATATTATTGCTAGTGCTCTTCAAGTTTTGATTGAATCCAGATGCCAATTCTAAGTAAGGGAATGTTTTATTTGATTTCAACATATAATAATGTTTGATGTTCTGCAAGTAATATGTTACTTTTCAACAGGTGAATGAGACAAATGAAGACAAATTTGGCGTTCTTAAGCAAGTTCAGAACATGTCTAAGGTAACAGAGACGTTATGTTTGTGCTCAGAAAAGTTATGCTTGAGACATTTATGATATGTTTTTGTACTCTGTTTGTGCTTCTGAAAATTGAGACAACGCAAAGATCGATCTTCAGTTAGCCAGACCAGCCATAGTAACTTGTTCCCTGCTGCAGATCCAATCATGGTATGATCTCTCTCTGGTGGTATGATTTAATATATCAGATTGTATAAAGTTAGAGTTTGCATCTAATTTAGATGGTATGATCTAAATTTAGGCAGAAACAGAGTAAGAGTTTGCATATGAGAAGATACATGAAGAGTACAAAGAAGATATATGAAGAGTACAAAGAAGATACATGAAGATTTGCCATTTGGTAGATACATGAAAAACTTATAGTAAACTTGTGTTTTTTGTATTGGGATCTCAATTTATAATCTATGTACGTACAGACATATTGGTTTGGTTAATATGAGTTATCATTTGAATTTTTAGTGAATTGGAATATATAATATATTTACAGGTATATATAGTACAGGATTTAATATAAACAATAAACAAAACCTTAACAAATTTACGTCGGTTATTAAACTGACTTGAACAAATGAGTTGCCTTTTGGGTCACATGAAAACCGTCGGTAAGTTTACTTAAACTGACTCAAAAAATCTGATGTTAATATTGGCGACGGTCTTTAAACTGAAGCAAAACAATTTAACGTCACACATTAATACGACGGTTTTCGAAACGACGTTAAATTTCTCACGTCGGTTTATTAGTGACGTGAAACTCATTAAAACCGTCGTTACACACCGCGTTTCTTGTAGTGTTGCTAAATAGCATAACAATAACCGAACACTACAATTCAAACCAAGCAGGAACCTCTTAAACCGGACTAAACCAAGTCTCACAGGAATCAAGCCTTTGCAAGAAACCAAAGTGACGAAAGTTGAAGACGATCGCAGAGAAAAAAAATATTTTTTCCAAAATCCTTTTTCTTGCAGAAATTCTTTTACGATTTGAAAACCGAAGCGAGTCAAAAGCGATAAAGAACAAAACTCATTACACTATAAAAAAAAACGTAGTAACAAATTCTATAGAAAACCTTATGGAGAACAAATCAAATTAACCAAAGGTAATCAAAATTAGAATAAAAAAAAATAAAAAAAATAAAAGTGATCTCTCCAAATCACGAAACTCAGAACCTGCAGAGTTAACAATATTAAACCTTAAACAAGGCAAATCAACAACCCAGCAAATCTCAGAAAATAAATATCAAGAGAAAAATCTCAATATCCCTGCAAAACAGATTTGTTAGTGCAGCGAGACAAAAACGAGATGCACTCAGACACCGCTCGATCAAAAACATAGAACGATGAACACCTGCTCTTAAAATAAACACTTTTACAAATATCAGTATCGTTAGTGCAAAGCAAACAACGATTTTAAAAGATTTAAGACTGTAGGACCTCAATTAACAACACTAGGCAACTGATATAAGTAAGAGCAACATAAGAACAACAAATCAAATTTCAATACCAGATCACTGTCGAGGAAGATGAAAAGCAGAGTCGAGGTTTGAATCTCTTTCCTTAAAACTTTTAAACGCCTCGTAGTGTTGACGGTTTTGTAGCGGTAAGATTCCCAGGATACAACTGCTGAAATTTCCGTCTCCCAACACCGGAGAACAGAACCTAAGGAACCTAGATACTATGGGTACTCTCAAGGAGGAAAAACAGAAGAAGAAGAGATTGTGAAAAATTGTTGTGATCGTGTGTTTTTTCGATTGAGCTCAAGAGCCTTTATATAGAAAAGAATGAGATCAAGTGACATAATTGCATGGTCTTCGTATTGACCAAAACCATATCACACATAATGGAGAGTATCATAACGTATAATCAAACATTAAGTCACACGACTTGACCACGTTATTATAGCATTTGCTTTGACCAATTTTTCAAAGCAATAATATTTAATTACATGGATTTCTTTTCTTGTGTGAGATTAAATCTTAACACAAAAAGATCAACTCTAATTTGGATCACAATAATATTCTAATGGACTTGATGCCCAATAAACCATTATAAAACCAACTTCAAATCCATAATTGAATATGGGTTAGTTGTTAATTTTTACACTTAGCAAATATATAAAACTTTATAAGCTTTTATAAATACCCATTTATAAACTCCATTTCTCATTCAAAACAACTCTGATTTTGACATATGAATACACTATTTCATAGTGTTCATGGCGACGATTTCATCGTGCCCAACATCCGAATATTCCGACGAACGTCTTCGCCGGAAAACTCACCAGAACATGGTCTAAAACCATTCCGTCAAAAATGAGTTCCAACAGTTAGGGGTTCCTCATTCATCTCTAAAATATGAAAATCTGTAGGAACAAGACAACCTCCCACTTGAACCAATATATCTTGAGCAAAGCCATATGGGGTAATAGTAGAGGCGTTTCCAAACTTCAGTGATGTTTGAGAGTCTTTAATGTCAACTATTCCAAGCTCATCTGCTATAAGCTTAGACATAACATTCACATTAGCTCCTGTATCGCAGAGGGAATCAATAAAATCCATACCATTGATTGTGCATGGGAAAACAAATTGCCCTGGATCTTCCATCTTATGCAGCTTTCTTTGATGAGGTCCCTTGTAGATTGGCTCATCATCTTCAGGCCATTCCAATGGGTTTTTGAGGGTTGAATGATCTCTAGGGGCTGGTGAGACCACGTCCTTGTTCTGAGTTGTGATAACTTTGCAAACTCTTGGATTTAACTCAGTCTTACTTGGAAGAAAACCCTCTTGCCTCTTCATACCTTCTGCTGTTTGAGCAACTTGCACCTCAAGCATCTTCACATGATTGGTTAGATCAAAGAGCTTTGCAAATATCTCATCATCTTTTCTGTTGAGATGACCATAGTCGTTCGCCATTTTGAACTCAAGGTTTTCAATCTCTTGGGCGTTTTGCTCTTGTCTTTCCATCATATGTTGTTGATTTTCCATTAGCTGTTGCATCATAGCTTCGTCTTTCCTCTCTAGCATCAATGTAGTTGACTTCTCCTTGCTGCTTGTGAGTGTTATCACCATTACACTCCTCTTTATCCTTACCATGAGAAGCTCCCGTTCTCACATTGGTATGCATCCCTTTGCTGGTTCTTGAGAAATTGAGCAACCATTGATTTCAGCTCAAGGATTTCTGAAAAGTCTGAACTTGGCTTGATGCTCCACGTTTTTCTCATAGTCCAAGCAAGAATATTTGTTGCTTGCAGCCAAGTTATCAATGAGAATGTTGGCTTGAGAATAGTATTAGTCATGAAGTCCCCTTGACTTGCGATGTTGAGTGCCATCTTGAATTTCTCATCAACTCCTTGATAGAAGAAGTTTAGCAAAGCAATCTCTGTAAAACCATGGTGAGGGCACTCTCTCTTGTACTCCTTGAACCGTGAAACAGCCTCAAAGAATGATTCATGTGCCTCATGTCGAAATTCTGAGATTCTTCTTCTCATCCATTTTAATCTCTCTTTTGGGTAGAAATTCTTCAAGAAAGCTCTCTTGTACTCATCCCAAGTAGTGATTGATCCTGCTGGAAGAGCCTTCATCCATTTGTATGCCTTCTCAACCAAAGAGAAAGAGAATAAAGTACACTTCAAGTAATCCTCAGAAACTCCACTACATCTCCTTGTAGCGCAGATTTCTTCAAACTTCTCAATATGATCAATGGGCTGCTCTTCTCTAGGCCACGAAACTGATGCTGCTCCACCAAAGCAATGAGTTTAGGCTTATCTTGAACTCTCCAGTAGGTGGTAAGGGCATATAGGTTGGCGTTTTGTGAAGAAGATGTCTAGTGAATCAAACTCTCCAATGGTGCGGTTTTGAGGATCCATTGTGATATCTTCTTCAAGAGGTCCTATCTCTTCCTCAAGCTAACCTGAAACACAAAGAGATAGAGAAAAGTAACAAAATAATAAAAACAAAAACCAAGAAAAACAAAACAAAAATGAAAACGAAATTAAAGCTATCCTAGACTAGATTCTAATCCGAAACTCAAAGGCAACTGTATTGGTCCCCGGCAACGGCGCCAAAAACTTGATGTGGATCAGGTTTTACCCAATCCTATTACTAGATACCGCAAGTGCACGGATCGTTGGTAGTATGGGTTATCGAACACAAGGACCAGATAAGTTACACTATGAGTTTATGAGATTCAAATCAAGCTAGGACTCAAGTATGAAGGTTTGTTGTTGTCACGGATTCAAAGCAAAGTAAACTAAATAAGATGAAAGCAATAGGAGAAAGCATTGGGCATCAGAGAATTCGCAAGGTTTCATAGATTGGATCAAGCAAATAGATAGGGAAATCAATAGTTTGTTCTAGAACTCGAATCAATAAGTATAATTGACCTACTCCCGCAGTGCCAATTACTATGTCTAACAACCTAAATCACACAACTTCCGCAGGTAATCAAGAGGTTAAACATGTAAGAACAGTCAAATTCGATAGCTCTACTTCCGTAGGTCTAGTTCACAAAGCCTTGCAATTCTACTTCCGTAGGTTACTATGCCTTGCTCATCTAAGTTGATTCAAGAGATTTAACAAGCGTTCCGAAGGTAAATCTACTTAAGAACAATAGCTTAGACTGTCAATCAAGCTATAAGCAATAAGCACAAACTTAGATGAAGAACACTAATGATAAAACCCTAATCTAGCAACCTAACAATCAATCCATGAAAACCCTTTGAAAACTCTTAAACCCAACAAGGAGATTACTCAAGCATAGTAAGACAGATCAAGCATAGAGATGAAGAAGAATTCATAATAAAACTTGATAAGAAGTAAAGGGTTCAGAAATCTTCTCTATTGTGTTACAAAGGCGAGATCTTCTCCTATGAAGCTCTAAAACGAAATCTATGTAAGCTCTCTAAAACTAATGCGGCTCTCACTTCTAAAGAGGCTAAAAAGAGTATTTATAGTGGTCTTCCACAAGTCGATTGAGGTGAAACGGGCCAAGAAAGGTTAAAACTGCATAAGTGGGCTTCTTGTTCGCGGACCTCGGGTCGACCGTGCAAGGGATGTCGTCGGCCGTCGGGGTCGGCCGTGATGTGATGGTCTTGGTCATGAGGTGATGATCTGGGTCGACCGTAGTCATTTGCCTTCCTGGTCGACCGGTGCGTTCGGCCGGATGCTTTGATCGCATGTCGAGGAATGGATCGAGCGCGGTTCATTGCTTCCCATCGCTGCGCTCGGTCGGCTGCATGGGACATGTGGTAAATATTTGTAGACCGTGGGGCAATGCTTCCCGGGTCAAACGGTGTGGTCGTGCGGGTCGGTCCTGGTGAAGGCTGATATACCTCTATTTTACATGCTTTTTATCCTATTTTACTATGGTTTTATAATGGTTTTCTAGTGGATTCTTGTCTTAAAAGGTAGTTTTTATGGATTTATACTGCAAAGAGTCATTTTAGGTCAAAAGGTGCATTATGGAGAAAAACAGAGGATTTGGACTTCAAACCAGTCCATTGTCACAGATTCTACTTTGGGAGGAGCTAAAAAGAGATCTACTCAATGGATTTCATCAAGACCAGTTCCCCGCGTGCTCTGAGTGAGTTAATCTCCAACGCAATTGGATTGGCATCATTTGGATGAGTAGAACTCAAGTTATGATCAAATTAGTGAAGACTGGTCCAGACGGCCTTATCGAGCATTCGCATCCTGAGCCGCGCACACCGGCCGATCAAGGAACGAACGTACCGCGATCGTGCCACGCATATCATCCGCGTCCCGCCAAGTCCACGGCCGATCCCATGTACCGACCCGGGAGGCATTGTCCCGCGGTCGGCCAAATCACTTTCACACGGCCAAAGCTGCGCGACCGTACCGCGCGAACAGGAAGGCAACGTCTCGCGGCCGCGCGGCACAACTCACGTACCGCGCAACCAGGAAGGCTTCACCCCGCGTCCGGCCAAGATTCATCGGCCAAAACCTTTCATCCGTCCGACCCGTCGGCCGAACACGAAAACTCTCGGCCACGATCGTTCCGACCATGCCGTAGCCGACCACGACCCGACGACCGGCGAATGTCCCGACCGACCGTCTGAACGGTCCGATCGACCCGAAGCCGTTTCTGAAGCCCAATTCACACGTTTAAGCCCAATGCCAGCGTCGACTTACTAGATTTAGGTCTAGCCGCTTTTCTATACTCCTAGCATTATAAATACTTCTTTTTAGCCTTGTAACTCAAGAAGGAGAGAGACCACAATTTACTTTACATCTTTAATAAAGTTTTACTTGCTTTTACTTTGTTCTTGCTTGTTCTCTTTCTAGAGAGGATTCGAATCTCTGTTCTTATGAATATGAATTCGTCTTCCTTCTCTATGTGTGAGTAGTTTACTTGTTAAGTGATAGGAAGTCAAAGGATAGCATTCATGTATGCTTGATGATCGATCACAGGAATTAGGGTTTTACTTATAATCTTCATCTTTGCTTATACTTAATGCTTGTTGTTAATCTGGCCAAT